GAGGAGTTTAGGGACATTTTCTTCAGGGAAGGTGAGGTATTAGGGGTAACAGGGAGGACGGTGCATGAAATCCCACTGAAGCAGGATAGGGTAACTTACGTGAAAGAGAGAAGATACCCGCAGGCGTTGAGGCAGCATATTCGAGAGGAGCTAGATAGTCTAAAAGAACAAGGGATCATAGTTGATAGCACCTCACCATTCAATAGTCCCCTGTGGGCAGTGAAGAAGAAGGCAGCACCGGGGGATAATAAGGAAAAATACAGGGTGGTAGTAGACTATCGTAAATTGAACGATAACACGGTAGACGAGAAGTACCCGATCCCCAGATTCGAAGATATACTGGATAGGTTGAGTGGAGCCGTGGTCTTTAGCACGTTGGACCTTAAGGCGGGATATCACCAAATACGGATGCACCCGGAAGACCAACACAAAACAGCGTTCACATTCGAAAGGGGGCATTATGAATTCACAAGAATGCCGTTTGGTCTGAAGAATGCGCCCATAACATTTCAGCGTCTGATGGACGAATTTTTGAGGGGTATCGATGACTCGGTATGTCAGGTATATATGGATGACCTGCTGATTTTTAGCAGAACGGAAACCGAACACGTGGGACATCTGAGGTCAGTATTCGAGAGGCTCCGGAAATTCGGGCTGAAATTGTCAAGCGAGAAGTCTCTGCTGGGACAAACGCGGATTAATTTTTTAGGCCACACTATCTCTAGCGAGGGGGTCAGACCGGATGCGGCAAAGGTGGAGGCGATCACAAGGATGGCGGTACCACGGGACGTGAAGGGGATCCGTAGGCTTCTTGGGACGCTGAACTACTATCGGAGATTCGTACCTGAGATGGCAGAGTATTTGGTACCCATTAACAATTTGCTGAAGAAAGGCGCGAAGATTGTGGTGACACCAGAGATGGAGAATAATATCCGCAAATGTATGAATAGGTTGCTGACAGAGCCGGTGTTAGCGTTCCCGGATTTTGAGAAGCTCTTCAATATAACCACCGATGCGAGCGAATACGCGTTAGGGGCCGTTTTGTCCCAGGGGGGGAGTGAGGGTGAACGACCGATAGCATACGCGAGCCGTCGGCTTACGGGTGCGGAATCGCGATACAGCGCTTTGGAGAGGGAGCTACTCGCGATAGTGTGGGCTATCGACCATTTCAGGCCATACGTATTTGGGAGGAAGTTTCGAGTCCACACCGACCACAAACCCCTGCAGTGGGTAGGGAAACTTAAAGAAACCTCAGCTAGGGTCACGCGATGGAAGGAAGTCCTTAGTCAATACAATATAGAGGTGGTGTATAAGCCGGGAAAGGAGAACGTGGTGGCGGACTGGCTCTCGAGGGCCATCATGATCAACGCGGTAGAAGAGGACGGGGGAGGACCATCGCGAGACGTGCGCCAATTCTTGAGTGAATGGACTCCCGACGGCGAAGGAGCGGAGGATATCGTCGGTATAGATGACAGGGGAGAGTCCCCGGAAGAGGAGAGCTCAGCGGAGGAAAGAGCAGTGGAAATGGAGGAGATAGACGACATCATCAATGACAAGCATCGTCAGGTAATCTGGAAAACGAGAGTAGCAGGGATGATGAAAATAGATTATCGAAGATATGGGAAAAGCAAGATTCGCGTCATCTGGTCGCAACCCGGGGTGAGTGAAGAGCAAATTTGTACGGCACTGAAGGACGCCACGGAACCTGGAAAGACGCACCATCTTTATGTGGGGAATAACACGGTATGGGATAAAATAAAGCGGATGTGGAGATCCGAGCGAATTGGGGTGGACAGAACACTCATCCGTTGTAAGTACGCAGTGGAAACTATACAGGATGAGGAACAGCAACAGGCAGTCACATTAGCTTATCACCAGGGGAAAACCAACCACCGAGGCGTGAACGAGACACTGCAGGCATTACGTCGAAAGTATTTCTGGTGGGGCATGAAAAAATCCATCCAAGAGGTCATAGGGAAATGCGAGGTGTGTATGCGCACGAAATATGATCGACACCCCCCCAGAGGGATTCAGGAAGAGACACCGACGGGGAATATGCCACTACAGGACCTCCAGATTGATACATTTACCTGGAGAGGATTCAAGTGGGTCACGGTCATCGACGTCTTTAGCAAGGTAGCTATGGCACACCAGGTCATGGACAAGTCTGCCAACGCAGTTGCGGAAGCCCTACAAACCTGGGTGCAGTTCTACGGGGTCCCCGAGAGGATCACATCGGACGGTGGTAGGGAGTTTGACAATGCCGCGATTAGGGAGGAGGTGAAACGACTAGGGATTCGTTGGCATTATAACACCCCGGGACATCCTAAGGGTAGAGGCGGCATTGAGCGGTTGCACAGCACGCTGAGTGATCACATCCGGGTGTATCAGGGGGAAAAGGGGTTGGAGCCGGATGTTGCAATGAAGAAAGCGGTAACAGCCTACAACCACTCGATTCACTCCGTCACGGGATTTTCGCCCGTGGAAGTACTATTCGGGATGCGCAGGCCAAGGCGAGATTGCGGGGAAACAACGGTTAATGAACCATTAGTCGAGCAAATCCAGAGCAATAGGGTGGAGATGGAAAAGACGTGGGGAAGAGTAACGGCGAAAATTAAGCGGGAAAAGGAGAAGCGGGTAGAGAGGCAGAATGTTCGCGTACGTGACCAAATGGGTGATCTAAAGATCGGGACAATAGTGTACCGTAGAGTAGGGACCAACAGAGGGAAACAATTGTTACGATACGAGGGTCCATTCAGAGTGATTGCTATTAGGGAGCATAATCTACTAACGATCGAAAGCGTTAATGAACCTAGAAAGAGGAGAACGGTTCACATTGAACAATTGAAGCTCCCAATGATAGAACCGGAACATAAACTAACGGATTCGTAGTACCCTCACCACGTTATAACAAATATGTTTTTTTTGGTTGTCTAAGCAAAAATATGGTGTATTTTTTTTTTATGTGTAAATAGAATCATAGCAATACAGTAGAGGAAAGTGTATTATTTTTTTTTTTCTTTTTCTTCTTCTCTGTTTTTTTTAGGATTTTAAGAGTTCTGTTTTTGGAAGCAAGTGTTGTGTTTAGTTCTGTTTTTTTTTATTTCTTTGTATTATTGTATGTCTCGAGTGAGTTTTACTTTCTTTCAACTTTATACTTGTAAAAACAATTGTAAGGTGTTAAGACTGATAATCGTTAGCTCCGATCTAGGAATATCTAAGTTTCCGAAAAATCCTGTTCGTAAACTGGTGGGGGGGAGATAAAGACCGGAGACCGGCGATATCAGCCTTAATACCGTCCTGAATGTAAATAAACATATGAAATGTATATAAGGAGGATTACTAAAGGAATAAATCAGTATCTTTTCTGAAACCGTGAGTGTTGCATTTCAAGCCCTTTCCTTTCTTTTTTTTTATTGTTAGAGTCCGCCGACGCTTAACTTATATATATATATATATATATATATATATATATATATATATAATCAATAAAGTAGGGACTTTTAAAGTTAGGTTTGTCTTGTTTATTTGACCCGATACTCAGCCTTGTAAGAACCAATTTTTTACTATGGCTACAAGGTCCAGATCTGTTCCATGGCTTCACATATTTTACTGAGGGTTTCACTTGCCTTGAAGGCAACTATACCACTTTATATTATTATCAATTGTTTATTCTTTATTTAACGTACTCTATTAATGTAACTGTTAAGAAAATTATTTTAGTTTGAGAAAATAATTCAGAAGATGATAACAAACTCTTTTTCAGTCAAGCTAACATAGTGCTTTAAAATATTAATTCAGTTCCGATAAAAAAAAATTGGCTTAAATTATATTACGAATTGTAATTTCATTCACCTTCCATCTATTATTTTAATTATTTTGTTTATATATTCTGAATCATAAAAAGTTTTCGAGGATGGATTGTCCATTGCCGGATTATCTCCCTCCATCTTGAAATCCTCAGCCATTTCAGATCGGAATCCACATCCTCCATTCATCTGATTTTTAATAAATCGTCTGAAATTAAATATTATAGAAGGCCTCTCATCCGTTCTCAACTACACAGCATAATTTGTTTTTATTATTGACTATTAAAAGTCTCAGATTAAGCCAGATAATATTCTATCTCAGATTAAGCCAGATAATATTCTGAAATGAACTACAACCCCGCCGACTTTAGAACCGGTGGACAAGATAAATACTTAAAGCTAACCATTTTCAGGATGACGATACTAAAACCTCGTAAATAATCATTGGTTTCCACTTTAATCGTAACATAATTTGAGCACAAAATCGAGAAAAAAGGTGGCCTTAAAATAATTCCAGCCGTTCGGCGTGACCTAAATTCCCAAAAATGTCAAAATAACGAGGTTATACAAACCAAACGGCCCAATACTTTTGTAGGCTACTTTTTTTCTCGATTTTCTTTTTATCAAATTATCTTACGATTCAAGTGGAAAGCAAATGGAATTTACGAGTTTTTATGACTTAATTAAAAGTTTGCCGATATCCAAATTGAAAACTCCAATTCCAAGAGTTTTCGTAAATAAAATAGTTTCAGGTGGACGTTAATAATTTGATAAAAAAGGATCTGTATCATGGATTATTTTTTATTTCAGAAATCTTGCTCATGATAAATTATATTAAGAAAAACTAAATGTATATAGTATTTTTATTTATTTATTTTTTTATGATATTGACAACTTTATTAAGAATAAAAATACATTCCGTTAATGTGATAACATAAAATTCTAAATTCATCAAAACATTGAAATATTTTCTCATCATGTGGGAATAGTCATTTTAAAATCACAGCTTCAATAAGGTTGTATGTTTGTATGTACAGTCGAGTGTAGTGATAAAATTAACAGTCCAATACCTCAAACTTATTGTCTGTCAGTTTTAATCTGTAATTAATTTATGAATGACTAAAGTATAAGTATTTTTTATGTTAGTTTTAGTAATAGCGCTCTGCATTCTATAGCCTATACGAAGGCACATCACCTTTCATACATGATCCTCTCTCTGTGTTCTTTTCCATCCCGTGTTGTATGAATGTTCCGAATCCGCTTTGCTGAGAGGGACATAATGAACAAAATAGGTGATGCATCATCACTCAATGCCTGTTTGGCCCCCATGACAACGAACCCATTTACAAGAATTTCACAATGACCTCTTGAAATATGCCATTTGACTCTGACTAGAACCGGAAAGAAAATACAGACATAATACGTTATAAATATATATATAAAAAATTGTATTATTTAAATTACCCACTTTATAATTTCAATTTGTCTACTTTATATAAACGCTTCTTCCTACCTCTCTTAAAGTCATAGTATATTTCTTATATGACCAAAAACAAATTTTACAATATGGTTCTCCTTTCCCCGAAAACGGAACTTGGTGAGTGAAAAGAGAATGAATTGGGATAAAAGATAAGTATAGGACTTTATAATGGAGATAATATTTTTTTTAAACAATGTAAACATTACCGACTGACTCATAATCAACAGAATAAGTAAAATATCAAGTATATATATTCCTATAATACAAAAGATAGCTGTATAATTTCACCATATTTATTTTCTTTTTTACAATGGCTACGTTTGGGTTATGAAGCCACTTTAAAGCCATCTGTAAGACCCAATTCTCATTTAACTTCATACAGAACACAAAACTACATTTATGAAGAGAAGGGTAGTTGGGGTGATTAATCAAAATAAACATGGCAAAAATAAATAATAATATTTATTATTGTTATTATTATTAGTTTTACATTATAATATTATATTATAATTGGTTTGATATTATAATATTTATTATTATTATTAGTTTAATACTATTTATTTATTTTTGCCATTTTTATATTGACTGATCATCCCAACTATCTTTCTATGGATTATTCACTACAGTAAACCATCAACCCACAGTTAAAAAAACTACATTTAACATGCTATGATAGTGATGTTAGCCATCTTTTAAATATAAACATTGTATAAATTATAAACTTTACTGAGTTGAATCAACATGTTAATTTACATATCAATTTGAGTGAAACAAAACATAGAATAAGAATATTCTAAAAATAAAATTGCATATATTAAGGCAAGATAATCAGACACCAGTTTTTACCGAATTTTAAAAATTTTATATTATTAAATTATATACATATATTTTAATTATATTATATTATATAAATTTTATATTATATTTTATATACATATATTTCTTTTTCCAACCATTATTCTTCATATAATAATGTCAAATACGCTCCTTTCTTTATTTGGAAACTACTATCTGAATTAAACTGTTAAAAAATTATTATATATTCTATAAAATAATAAATGAATTAATTTACAGTTTAAACTATTTCCCCAGAGTTTATAACTATATTTTAATGGATGTGGAAGGTAGTTTAGTAGCGCCATTATTCATAAAAATAGTGGTCACTTTTATTTTACGCCCACAAGGGTATAAGATAATAAAGACAATATACTGTATTGACGACCTGTTAATAAATCCGTTTCATGACGGTTTAACATTTTTTTTTTTATTTTGCGACATTGTTTTAGAAAGTTATTTTACAATATTATCTGCGAAATAATTAAAATATATCTTTTTTGATTAGTTATTTTTTACGACAGCGGAAAGCGATTGGAAAATGTATAAAAACGGCAAAAACTCTGGGACACTTTTAATTTACCCGGGATATCTGAAAAACGAATTGGTTTATAGCATGTCGGGCATTCTGAATTAATATAGACTGAATCCATTTTGGTACAATCGTTATAATTTTTTTCACCAATGAATAAAATATATTTTATATGTAATAAATTTCAAAAATAAAAATGTATTGTTTACTGAATCAGAATATAAATATTTATCGCTTATAATATTTTCAAGAGGACATATATACACTTGAAAAAATACAGTCATTCTTAAAAAAAATATTTCATTTCTGTTGAAGCTGGGTTTGCTCTGCTTATAAATAAATAAAGATGAATACAAAATAAATGGCAGTGAGCTAAAAACAATATTCCAATAAATTTATATATAGGTAGGATTTTTATCTTGTCCGTTTCTTAACCGACTTTGCCAGATAATTATCAAACCTGCAAGCTACCGCAGCTGATTTTTGTATTCATCTTCACCAAAGGGTTCAAAAAATATTTTGATTACAGTAAGACTTTGGCGGTCGTCGATGCAAGGTAAACTTTCTTTGGAAATACGGAATTACGGCATCAATTTTGTAATAAATTATCGTACGAAAATAAGAAATTTCAGAATTAAAAAAAAACAAAAACTTATTGAAGAACTTATTTCACACGTTCCAACAAAAAATTATTCTCAGAACTCAGCCTTTAGAACAAAAAACAAATTTATATTTGATGATGTAATTCCCTTCCCACATCCGTCCATCCAATGCCCTTTCTACCTCTAAATCCCGCCTGTTCGATAATTTCATCCAGTTTCCATCAAATTGAAAATACATACTACTGTAAATATGTATATAATATTAGATCGTTATTCTTTTTTTTTTTTGCTCCATGTTTTTTTCTTCATTTTTTTATTTTTTATTATTAACTTATAAAAATTAGAAAGTCACTTTTTTTATTATGACTATTTAATTATTCTGTGTTTTTGTTTCTGTATCTCTGAGGCTCCTTTGCCAACATTCCTGTCTTTCTGTATTATTCTAAAAGGACTCGTCCCAGAATAAATAAAGTATTATTATTATTATCATTATATCTAGTTGCTAAATTAATTTGGTAGAAACAAGCTTTTTATTTATAATTCATTGAAAATCATTAAAACCAGTATTATTATTTGTGCCTTAACTCTTGGAATATATGAAGAAACCTTTTTGATACATAGGAAATTTTAATAATTAGGACATATTGAAAACAAGTGGTTTTGTGGATCTCGACCACTGTGCAGCGTCATATTATTTCCGCGTCATGTCATGTTTATTTCCGCAATAAAAAAAAATATGATTATATGTTATTACTGACCGATTTAAAACATGAAACACTTTATTATTAAAGTATATGGAATATACTTATTATTACAATTCAATGATAGTGACGGTTCGTTGAAAACTTCAAACACCTGATGACACTTATTCCGATAAAAAAGTTCAATTACCTATTTTTGGTTGTCTCTCGTAGGATTGCTTTGTCGTTGTTATACTATACATGAAATTTGGATGGAGAGGAACTTGGTCTCATATGGAAGCTGTAGTAAGTTGCAATCTAGGACAGCAGTATAGTATCAGATAACCCGAGACTGCGGTTAGCTGGATTCGATGCACGGCTTTGGGGTTATGTTTCACAGTATATCTTAGCACAGCCCCTGAGTCTGAGTTGGGACCCATCGTTTGGCATCTGTGGTGTATAATGTATCTAGAATTCGGAGTGGCTCTGTAGTTTTAGTTCAAAATCTCTATAAAGAAATTATTGAATAAACTAAAACATTGTGCAATTGTGTATAATATTATTTTGTCATTATAATCAGCTATGATTATGATATAATAATTATTACGCAATGGTTTATTATTACCATATAATTTTATATCAAAAATGTCTTTATGTGTTGCACTACGTTATTCCTTACCAATTCTCCGAAAAATTATTTAAAAAGTCGTCTCCTTGAGACGTTTTTACTATTTTTTGTTTTAAAAAATCAAATTAATCTTCAAATAACAATGTCGACTACTTCCGTAGAAAAACAGTATTCCAGTTATAAAAAGAACCCTGTTGGATCATAACATAAGCAAAAAGGTCATACCTCCATAGATCTGCACCATGTTGTCCGATTTCGAAGATTTCTTAAATTTATTTTTAATGTAACTTTGTTATCTTTCAAATAAGCATAAGAGTGTACTTTTTGATTAATTTACAAATATAATTATACATTAGTCATAACTTTTTTATCAGCTTCTATGCGAGAAAGTATGTATTGTGGTGTATAGATAAATTTATAAGACTTTTAGAAGAAGACTATAGGCAAGTTTCATTAAAATCGTTACAACCGTTCCGGTGCTTTAGTTGTAGAGACACAGGTTTTTCGGCCATACTTTTTAAGCCAAAAGGATGGTGGTTGTGTCAAGTTTGGAGGATTATCTTCGGACTTTTACAGCTGAATTTGATACCAAATTTCAAAACAATCGATGCAGTAGTTTCGGACGGTGCATAAACAAATATGTTTTCATTGAATTTTCGTATTCTACGTATTGTGAAACGTCGAACTTCATATTTTGAAGTGGTGTTAACTTTTTGTTTTTCTCGCTCTATTAAAATGATTCGTTATTGAAAATAATGAACCAAAAAAAAAAAAAAAAAAATAATAATAATAATTTGCTATAAAAGTTTCTCATAAACATCATGTATTTTTTTTAATACTTCCTTCAGAATTAAGCGTAGGATTTATTGCTAAATTATTGAAAATGTTTTTGACAAAACCAACGGTGATTCAATGGAAGCTCCGAATGATTTTCCGCCCAGTAATTGGTTAATCTTGTTTCAAAGGGGAAAGAGATGATCGGACCGTAACATGAGGAAAATATCTGGTTGGATGGAGGAGGGGGAATGCCTGGGTATTAGGAAAAAAAAGATGGGACCAAACTGGATGACGGATCGAGATTAAATTAGTAACTGACAGAGCTAGTAGCTACTCTTCCCTCCAGCCTGGAGAAATGGAAAATATGGTAACCGCTCGCTGGAGTAGTATTTGTTAAAAGAATTTGCAAAACTGTAACGTTTTTATTTAATGTTATTTTTTGATAATAGCTAAAAGTTTCATTGACAATGAAATGTATGTTGTTTTATTTACGAAATAACCTTAGTTTATTTGTAACGTAATGTTTAATAAGAAAAACCAACTTGACTCATATTTCACTAAAAAAATAGCGCAATAAATTATATAAATCAGTAACAGTAAATTATCTTTTCTCATTCCATTATATTTTTTATTATTATTATTTATTATGATATTTACAAATGTATAAAAAAATACATATAGTAAACTTGTACAATGGATACAATGACCTAAAATACTTGTTGTGAAACTACCCATTGGTAGCACTCTAGTAATAGGTCTACATTCGGAAGTAAGGGAGCCATCTTCTTTTCAGACGCCTCGGAGGGTTATCAGGAATTGAAAAGGAAGCAAGGTTAGAAACAAGAGGGTCGGGTTTGTTATGAAGTATATTATGGAAGGATCGGTATCTGGATTGGGCTGAAACATGAAATCTGAAACATAAGGAACATTTAAGTAATTATGGATGATTTTATTTGTGTTGAAGTAGTCAGAAACGTCGAGCGGTTTCTTGTCGTTTCAGTGCTGTATGAGGATTCCAAGCGAGATGTTTGTCCAGGTAACGGATTTGTTCAACTGGGATAAATGAGGTATTATCAAAGGACAGGAAGGCATTGGTTTAGGAAGAAGGGAAAAGGTAAATTGATGGAATTTATTTTAATTCTCCAGTTTTGACACCATTCCTCAAGGTTTGAGGTATGTGATTGAAGAGTTTGGGATGCAATTGATGGACCGTTATTAACTGATAGGATACGTGTGTTATCGGCATTCGTGATGGAAGTGTTGAAATGGGGTTAGGGCATCAAAAAAAAAAAATTAAAATCTATAATTTATGAGACAAGCCAATTAAAAATAATTTACGCAACAGAGTTCAGTCACCAAGGTCATACTTGGAAAACGGATGAAATGAGATTTAATGGTTTTATAAATGGTCACCTGAGAGAATTGAAAGAATTTTAGTATCAACAACTGAATTTCTTTGTTAGTTTCAATTTTGAATACTTTATGATTTGTTTTCATTATCAATTTAAAGAATATGGGAATATGGGAACAAAAAATCGAGATTTCAAAGGCACTTCTCTGAATCAACTCAATTCACATACAAATTATTAATGCTTTAACTCGATTTTTTGAAGATTTAAAGGTGGGAAGTTTTTAAATAACAACCATAACATCGGCGAACGTATATCCGATAAATAATCACTGATACAGACCTCTTTTTATCAAATTGTTAAAATCTGACTAAAATTTTATGAATGACTTTATCCTATGGTAACCCACAACTTTTTTGCAGATCGTTAAACTTTGTTTATTTAATGAGGTATTAAAAACTCATGTACACCCTTTTACTCTCTTGCTTACACTTGAACAGTAAGATAATTTGATCACAAAAGCGAGAAAAAAGGTGGCCTACAAAATATTGCACCGTTTTGCTTCACCTCCACCCCAAAACGGTGAAATTAGGAGGTTATTCCGGCCAAACGGGCCAATATTTTTTTAGGCCACCTTTTTCTCAATTTCGTGGCCAAATTATCTTACGATTGAAGTGGAAAGCAATTGTTTAATCATAAGTTTTAGGTACCTCATTGGTTTATTAATCCTTAGAATTTTTGTTGATAAAAAAATGTAGGTTACAATAAAATTAAGTCTCATTAAGTTTTTAATTCTTAAAGTAATATATTCTGTTTCAATAAAATATATGTAAAAATAATTTTATTTATTTTTTATATTATTTAATTAAATCTAATTATATTACGATTCTTTGTTTATTTATATATTTTTATAATATTTTAGTGGTTTACTATTTAATTTTTATACTTCTGTTATTATTTATGTATTCATATATTTTTTATTTATCTATAAAAATATATATAATATTTTATTTAATTTTTTCCTTGTTGACACCAACTTTTATTGCTAAATTTTATACCATATCAACACATACATGAACATTATGTCTTGTTTCTTTACGAATTATAACGTTGAATAGTTGAAAATGCATAATATATATGATACCATATTACATTTCTATTTTAACATTTTTCAATGTGAACCTGACCCTCCGAAGATTTTGTTGACTTTAGAGATTAATTCACAAGCATGAGCGAAAACATTTTTGTATTAAAACAATATCGTACAAAAGCACTTCAGATACGCTAGAAGAATTATCGAAAATAGCTCTGCAATTAATGAAAACTGGAAGAGATTATTTTTAGCTGAATTAAAAGTATACAATGCCTTTTTTTTTCCTGTTCTTCCCTACTTCGCCTTTTAGGCTATACGGGATTTTCCTGGGCCGGAGGATGAGGGCGGGGAATTTAAAATCCCGTCTATCATCGGGATGCGAACTCTTGTACTTTTTTCTCAATCTCAAAACTTGGTTATCTGTTTGGCTGGCAACTTGCAGTGCTGTGCACACACGTTCGCCCATTGGGCCACCCATCCCCTCCCCTAATATACAATGATATGTCTTGAATAATTGGAAATGACTATATACCAGCAAAAGTCTAAATCGTTGTAGTCATTGAGAATGCTAGAAACTAATGACGTTCCTGTCAACGTGAAATAAGAATAAGAATGAAAACTATAACAGTTTCGAAGCTATAGATCCGAATGGGTTATAATATTTGTTAGTATTAATAGTCCGTAGAAATGTTAGAAGTCTTGACATGCATTGAAACTGCTGATATTAATGATTGGGCCGTGATAACGGACATGGCAAGTGCCAATAGGCCTTCAAAAACACAAGACCTCACAACTACAATGGCGAGAGTTAAAAGAAAGTTCTGTTAGTTACTAAGATAGAAGTGAAGAATCCCTTCACATTGCGGATTCAGCGAAAATTAACAAGAAGATAAACTAGCCAATATGGTGAGGAGGTGGAAGAACGAACTGCGGTTTTAATAATTAATAAAGTAGAAGATTTACACATGACAGGATTCCAAAGAAACAGGAGTTTAGAAAATGTGGCAGAACATTTCACAACAAAGATATAGTATAAGAAAAAGATTTAGCCAATGGTCCTGCTTGGTAGATGCAACAAAAAAATAAATAAAATGATATTTTTCGGTACTATTTTGGATAAAGAAAAATATAAACAGGAGCATGAGGTTGTTATGTGATATTTACCCCTGATTTGGTTAAATAATCGGACTGCATTAAACCTCTGCCAGTCTTCTATGGAGGGACGTAAGCCTTATGGACTTGCCTTATTTGAATATCGTTATTTCACATCATATGATGAGGAAGGGCATTCAAAATGGACCCGCATTCATTTGGACACGACTAAGCTGGCTAATCCGATTAAATGAAACAGGGCTCGCAGTTAGAGGAAGGACAATGGAGGATGTCAGACCGTTCGGGGAACGGGGGTATATTGCCCCCACATTTAATAGTCACAACACCCCGCTCCGCTAATAGCCTCATGGTCAATCTGGGCTATCCCTGTCCACGATTATGCAAATTTTGACAGGCTAAGAATAGTCCGACTTATAGCCAAACCCAGCTAGATATTGTTCTATAAACCTATCTACATCTTTCGAAGAGTATTTAGAATTT